GCTAATACTATAACCCCAATCCTAATGTTATTCAGAAATTAACCATTTTACTTGCTCTTCTCCTCCAAAATCTGAATGCAAGTCCTTGAGAGGCCGTTTAGGAAAGGCGCCAGTAGTAAGGAACGCTCTGACCTAGTAGCTGCTCCATCTACTCTTGATGCATCCGGTACAATCAGCAGCTTGCAGGCTTTCACTGATATTGAATACAAATTGCTAAAAAGAGTTATTATGTCTTATAAATCCACTAATGAGCAAGGCTCTAAATGTGGCCTTGTAAAAGTGGCAGCTGTAAAAAAGTGTCCATCCAGACACAAACGAGCAGGAGTGAAGCTTTTTTCTTTATTCAAGAGTCATAGGCTTAAAATGGGTGCCCTTCCAGCTCACTGTGGTGCCCAAAGTAGCAGGCTTTCCATGTGCCAGTCAGATACTGAACCTGGGAACTAAAGCCTGAGGGCCAGTGAATAGCCCCTGCCTATTGGGGTAAAAAGTAATAAAAAAAAAAAATTAGGCCAATATGATCACATTTGACTTTTGTTGATGATGAGACATTTCTAGCATAAAGCAAATGTCATAAAGGCGGTACAGCCTACATCATAGAAACAGTTCCTAGCAGTAGGTTTCAAGGGGAAATCAGAGTCTCCTGGGTGTTATGTCAGCAGATAGACTTCAAACTTGAAGTTGCTTTCTCGAAACACTCGCTTCCCTTTGCGGCTTACCACAAATGAATGATGGTGAACAGGTTAGTTCTGGAGGGGGTCACTTCCATCACTGCCCAAAGAAAAGCCATGGAGCTCCACAAGCTGACGCAGCGGACAACGTTGGTCTGTGTTCGGCTGCGACGGCCACCTTGGCAGAGAAATTCCTGATTGTGATAAGAGGAGGGACAGAGGAGATTCCATGAAACTACCATCAGTGTAGTCTAGATCAGAGCTCTTACACCTGGAAATGGTTGACTGCAGACTTTGTAATCACATAGTCCTGTTCACATTAAAACTCTCATTTCCAGTTTTCCTTTCAAGGTTAATTAGCCCTGGTGGTTGCTAAGGATGGTTTTGTGGTAAGTTCAAGAATATACAACATTTCTGAATTGGTACAGCCCCCTTCACAAAGCCTTACATTCTCTTTCTCCAGGGGTGAAAAAAAACCAAAGGAGGATTCCTTCTCTCCCTCATCCTTTTATTGCTTTCTCACTAATGCACTATAATATTGGTAACAAGCAATTTTCTGATGTGTATAAAACTCTCCTCTACCCTACTGAGCATAATCTAAATCAGATCTAAACACACATCCGTGCACTATAGTCACCTAAATTATTTACAAGCGTGCTTAATACAAACAACTCTCAAACTCTGCCGCTCTTTAATGAAGTCCAAAATTTGGCAAGTGTCCATGATAAATATAAAAATTTTAAGGAAGTCTTCAGCCATAATTGCTACAAAAGCCAAGATGTCTTAGAGCATGTTCAGAACACCTCTGTAGAATATTGTACAACTTTGTAAATGTAAGAAAATGAACCTCGACCAAACTGCATTTGAACTGTGCAGTGAGCAACTCCTTAATTAACAGTAACGTTGTTTTGTGACAACTGAATTAAGAAGGCATAATGTCAGGCTATAAACTAGTTTCCATTCTATTTTTAAGGGTGATCTAGAATGTGGAAGTAGAATATTACACTCAAATTTTGTAAGTTCTTTAGTATTGGAACGTCTGTTTTCCAGGGCATTTGTTCAGCATTTTATATGTTTTAAGTGCTACCAGACTAAAGCAGTGCTGTGGTGAGATTGATTTTCTGTAAAATAGTAAGCAAACGGCAGCAGTTAAGACTCCTTTAATTTTTTTGGAGAATTTCTCTCCACAATAGCAACTTTAATATGTGAACTTAATTATAGTATCTTAGTATATCCTCCTTATAAATACTTCCTTGTGTACATATGAAATGGCTGTTGTCCTTTGTTTCTTCTCTTGGGTTTGTAGTTTTTTGAGTACACATCCCATAATGAAATACGTTACAACACTCGACAACCAGAAGTCTGTGCAGCAGTTGATTCGGGGACTGACTACTTGACAATGTACTTGTGTCAAGAAAATGTTCACAGTATTCCTGAAAACCAGAAGTTTGTTTTCAGAGAGGTAAGTGTGCCTGCTTGGTTTGGAGTTAAGTTTTTTGGGAGTTGCAGGAGAATTGTTGGGTTTTTTGGGGGAGAGAGTGGGTGGGAGGAGAATTGTTGGGTTTTTTTCTTTTTATCTTTCTGCCCACACATCATGCAGGCCACAACATCAGCGAAAATCTCTGGGAGAAATATGCTATCTTGGCTTTTAATATCTGAATGTGGAACAGGGTAGCAGCAGCGTGCAGGTGAAGAGCATGCCAGTCATAAATAATAGGAAGACGAGAGGAAGGAAAGTGTCCTTCTTAACCTCAAAGGAGTTGGGAGGGTTGGCAGAGCTCTCTCTTCACCTTGTCCACATCTAGAGCTTTCTGTGTGCTGCTCAGTTCTCTCTCACATCCCACCCCTACTGTCTTCTCCTGAGAACTGAGGTGCCTCCATACCCGTTCCCCAGCCAGTCTCGTGGCTGGCCTACTTTTGCTCTGCTTTCATTGACTTCTTTTATTTCCTGGTATTTATACCACCATGTATCCCTGATACTTCACATACCACCATTACTTTACAATCCTCTGCTTTCAAGCAGCTGCTGCTTCTCTGCAAACCATCTCTCTTGACCCTCCCTATGAGCACCAGAAGTGCTCCCTGAGCTTTTCTGCAGTGTAATGTGCAGTTGTGTAATTTGATGCACCATTATCAGCTGCCTGGCGGAAAAGGACCTGGGGGTGTTAGTCAAGAGCCGGCTGAACATGTGCCCAGGTGGCCAAGAAGGCCAACAACATCCTGGCCTGTATCAGAAATAGCGTGGCCAGCATGAGTTAGGGAGGTGATCGTCCCCCTGTACTCGGCACTGGTGAGTCCCCAGCTTGAATGCTGTGTTCAGTTTTGGGCCCCTCACTACAAGAAGGACATTGAGGTGCTGGAGCGTGTCCAGAGAAGGGCAACGAAGCTGGGGAAGGGTATGAGGAGCGGCTGAGGGAACTGGGGCTGTTTAGCCTGGAGAAGAGGAGGCTGAGGGGAGACCTCATCGCGCTCTACAACTACCTGAAAGGAGGTTCTAGCGAGGTGGGGGTTGGTCTCTTCTACCAAGTAGCAAGTGATAGTACGAGAGGAAACGGCCTCAAGTTGGGCCAGGGGAGGTTTAGATTGGACATTAGGAAAAATTTCTTCCCCAAAAGGGCTGTCAAGCCTTGGAACAGGCTGCCCAGGGAAGTGGTTGAGTCACCATCCCTGGAGGTATTTAAAAGACGTGTAGATGTGGCACTTAGGGGCATGGTTTAGTGGTGGACTTGGCAGTGCTAGGTTAACGGTTGGACTTGATGATCTTAGAGGTCTTTTCCAACCTAAATGATTCTATGATCAAAAAATACCCTCTGCCCTACTCCTACCCCTACACAGGACACATCTTACTGTCTGTGGGGACGGCAAATCTGTACCTCTCTTTTTCAAGCTTAATGCCTGCTCCCACAGGGGAGAAATACTGAGAAATATGAAGTATGTTAATAAACATAACATGTGATCTTAGAAAACCTTGTGTTTAGTAGTTTTTAATCTCTGAAGGAGTTCCTGGATGCCTGAGAGAAAATAAATTTGATGAAAAATGATGGCCTTGGTCAAGTTCTGTAGTATTATTATTTGGCTAAGGGAAAAGGTCACATAATATATCAAAATGGTATGTTTACATAATGTGTCTGCATAATGCATCTAAACTCTACAGGCTCCCTGGTTGACAAATTTCATCCTTAGATACTACCACCAGTGATAGGTGGCAGAGTGAATTCTAAGGAAAAATATGAAAACTACTGTCTATTCACTAAATCTAGTCCAGACTGAAGCTCACAGTGATATTACTGAGTAAAACAAAATATTTAAAAGGCTGACTTTATAAATGACGTTTCATTTTTAATGCTGACTTTTAACAAAATTTTTCAAGGTCATGTGCATTAATCCCTAAGATGACATATATTGAATGAACCTCAGTCACTCAGGAAATAATTGAGAAAACACAGTTTTGGAATGCATCTGTTTCCACGGCATTATTAAAATAATTCCTAAAGTTTCAGATGCTAAGTCCTCTTTCTTTCTCGTGATCAGTTTGTGTCTGCGTGTGATTTGAACATACTGCTCTGCTCCGATCTCTCTTCCTCTGTTGCATTAAATCAAAATCACCAGTCCCCACCTTTCAAGGCAAGTGATGGGTGAGGCGTCAGAACCACATTTCTCTTGCTTTGTTTGGAGAAGTGTCAGGCACTGGGAAAGCTGTCCTTACGGATGTAGCATAATCAGAGATTTGAACAGCCTTCCCAGCAGCCTGGCAAGAATTAAGTTCTTGGGGTTACCGAGTCAAAAATGAGTGAGGCAGATATTGATTAGTCCACTCAAAAATCTGAATTATCATGATGGAAACAGGAAAGTCATTCAGCAGCTAAGTCTGTCAGCAAGCCGGTGAGCAAGCGCACACCACGGGGCATCAGGGGCTGCGGCTCGAGGCGCAATTAGTGCGACATTCCTGACGGCGGAAGAGCAGACTTTCAGAGGAGTCAGGCTTACGCTCAGAAACAAGGTGTTGTTTTTTGTCTTTTGAGGCCGTCAGAGGCTTTGGAAATGGTCATGTGTGGGAGCGTCACCTGGGAAGGAAGGGTCTCGGAGCAGGGCACTTCTCCACAGTTGGACACGCCACCTTTTTGCGGCTCGCTGTCCTGGTTGACAGCGCTCCCGGATTGGAGCGAGCGATGTGAACTGGAGATAAAATGTTCCTGGAGACTCCCGTAACAGGAAGGCCTGAGGCTTCGAAATAACGTTCTCTGGGGAATCTGATTGTGGAGGCCTGTCAGACCTTACGCCTCCCAGGCACCTGTGCTGCCCTCCAGCAAAGCCAGCTAGCTTCGCACACATCTGCAGGCAAGGGGCACGCTTAGATTAGTTTGCCTTTTCCACTAAAAATATACCCTGTGAAGAAAGGGGAAAAATTTTTGCTAAAAATATATCCGACATCTACACTTAACTAACAATATTTACAGTTTACTTGCAAGATGTGCAATAAGTTGGTGAATTTGGATAATGCCTGTACTTGGCTTTTGTTTCCTCTGCCCATATTCTGGTGCAGTAACAAAAGGCAATGAAAGTGAATGAAGTTAGCACATCCCTTACAGGCACGAATCACTCTAAAGCAATGTTAGTGTAAGTTTAAAAGCAGGGGCTTTTGATAAACTTCCAGAGATCCTCAAGTTAGGCATTTTGGCTTCACTGCATGGCCCCACGAGAAGGTTATGTGTGGGGTTTTTTTGTTACAAATGTTTTCTGTTACTTTTAAAACACAGGATATGCCTGTAGTTTTTGAGACCTGAAAAGCAAATGTTATTTCTTTCTTTTGTAGGATGGTACTTTGTTTCACCCAAACACCCAGAAGTGCGTACAAGCAGAGTCAAATGCTTACAACGGTAACCCAGCACCGTTATTACGAACGTGTACCAACTCGGACTACCAAAAATGGTTCTTCAAAGAAAGAAGTTGACCCAGATGTCATCTACGATATAGCTGAATATGAAAATGTTCTCTTTCTAGTCAGCAGTTAGTCAGCCTTTTGAAAATCACATAAGTGATATATTTTTGTATGGGAAGAACTGTAATTAGTTTACAAGCCTTGGATTTTGTTTTCTGGAGCATTAAAAGGCACTAACCATTGAGAGCTATGTAAAGTAAGTGCTGTGGTTATATCGTGCCACAGAATCTGCTCCTCTTTTCTCTTTATTTGGCAGCTACATAACTGCTTCTGAAGTGTCTTAGGTTCTTTTCACAAGTGACAATATATTTTTTTAATCTACTGTGTGAAAGTAAGGCAGTCAAAATAATTGCACTAATGTTATCTGCCAATAACTTAAAATGTTTATTTTTCTACTAAAACATTCTGCAGTTGGGCCTTTTAACAGATAGTAGTTAATAATTGTTCTTGTCTCTTAAATACCAAGAAGGTAAATGTAGGCCAGATTCTGCCCTAAGTGACTACCACAAAACCCTCACTGAAGACAGTGTGGATTTGCACATGAAGGCAGAGTAGGTCTGCATGTTTTTGCACAGATAACAATCTAGATGCATACAGATTGCACACGCTTGTCAATACTATACATTAAATGTTGTGACAATTTTAGATGCTCATGGCACTTGACGAGTTTCTAATCATGCTTAAGTCTGGTTTTGGAGTAAAATGGGGATTTTCTCATTTTTCTTAAAGAAATAAGGCAACAATATTTAAAGGTGATTCTCTGGGAAAAGCTATTTAGATTCACGTGGATCTGGCTATGCGGCTATGTCCCAGACTGCACAACTTACTTTAACATTATGTGGATTTTCAACATGCATAAAACTTGCAAGATCAGACCTAGCAATAATTCTTTTGACAAATTTCAAAATTACAGTTAGAGAAAATGAATCTAGGAAATATCTTTAATTAAATTGTAAATGTATAAATGGTTCCTATAAAAATGATTGTATAAACAAAAATGGTTTTGCAACTAATTGATATGATATGCAGCTGATACCTGAAAGACAATTATTTTTGTATTAATATGACTTCCATTTTGTCTGGGAACTCCTTTTCTGATAAATTGTTCATGTCTGCACATACAGTCCTATGGAAAACATGGGGTTTAATCTGCACCGGTACAAGATGTTTTCTGCTGTGGTGTGAGGGTCCTGCTTTACCCAATCAGACGAAGTAGCATGTATAAGCAATGTATTTGGTCATTGACCATCATTGTTACAATGTTGATTAAAAGGGTTTCAGCTCATAAGGAAGGTTTCTTTCTGTGTCAGCTGGAGGTATGCTAATGTGTGGAAGTATGAAGATTTCAACCATTTTCCCCTAGAAGTCTTGGCATCTGTTTCATTTAGTTTTGGATTTCTACCATTATTTGCCTTTGTTCATGTTTTCTATAAAAAGTGTACAGCCCTTTCTTTGAGTCCTCATAAGCTCATGTCATTTTGGCATATGTATTTATATTATTAGGGTGTGTGGGGAGGGTTTCAGCCTGTAGGAGATGCATATGTAGGTTCTTCCAAGGTCTTTCTAAACCCATGTAGATGGAATATTTTTGTGAGCACCTTTAAAGTTTTGTCTCTGTGGGCTGGACTGATGAAATCGATGTTAGAATTAATAAAATATTTTGTGATTCAGTAGAGTGGGAACTGTCTTTACAACTATGGGATTTTTTTTTTTTGTTATGGTCACTGTTTTTCTTTTCATCATTTCACTGATCTCTTAGATTCTGATCCCTGCAGTACTTGGGAGAAGACCACTTTATTTCATGGTCTCTCAAGTTCCCTTTCCTGAACTCAGTAATGCTTCTACTCACCTGCTAGCAGCAGTGGTGTGCACTTTGTGGAGCCACAAATCAAAACTGGGTGGCTGCATGAGAGAACTGTGAGAGCTCCAGCAACACAGCAAGGTTTTTCTGTTCATTTCTGCTTTGCCTTCTTGGCGGTTGATCGAATTACATTAGTAAGTTAATGAGAGCCCAGCTATTACAATTGTAGACAAAGCTCTCTTTGACCTCCATGGTCAATGAGGTTTTCTTAGTTTTGGGACTTCAAGATTTCATCACCAGGTGGTGATATGCAAGTGAAACTTAGTAATTGGAAAATTATTTTCCATACATCTTCCCACTCTGCACTGGTTTAGAGGGAAGTATTGATGGTTTGGGCTTCTAGTTACATGCAGCTGAGCTGTTTTCTCATATACCAGCAAACCTGCCAGCCTGGGTTGAATATTTGCTAGGCAAACACATTTATGTTGAGTTCAAAGGCAGACACTGAATATAGCAACGTCACCAGCTTGCTCCCCCTATGTTGGCCTTTTAGTCCATCTACTTACCATTTTTCTCCTTGATACCCTTTTCTTCTTCTCAACTCACTGGAATTGTTTTAATGTCTGGCTTCAGGTTTGGAGGGTGAAGGACTCCATCAAGCATCTGAGTCACAATGCACATCTTCAGACTTCCTTTTGCTACCTGCTGGGAAACGGACTGTGGACTTTGGGCTTCTCCTCAGCAGAGAAGGGGCTGGATCCCTTACAGAAATAGAAAAATTGGAGGACTTCAGTTGCAAATCGATATTTCATCTGCTTCTGGCCTCCTAGGGCTCTCTTTGAAAAAGAGAGAGAGGAACACTTTCCACATGGTCCAAATCAAGAACCAATAGGTCCCCCCTTTCTTAGTATTCATCTTCCTTTTATACTTAGAGCCGCGTGTTTCTCTTCCCTTTTGCCACTAATCCCGTGAAGCACCCATAAAACCAAAACTTGCAACTCAAGATTATTGATAACCTTAGATTAAAATAATGGCATACTGGCAGTGCAAACTGGGAAATCTCAAGGGTCCTTCTTCCATTTTGTACCATCACTGTTCAAAACAAGAAAGGACATTTTTTTAAATATATAGAGATCGACTGAACAAATTGCCCTAAGAAGATATCGTCCCAGCGCACAGTACACCATATAAAGTTCTAGAACAGAGATGAAGAAATCTGTCTTCCAAATGGATTTTATTCCTTCCTCATTGCCTAGCTGCGAATACAACCCCTCCCATGTTTACTGCCCTTTTTTAGGCATTATATTGGATCAGCATGATCCTGTGTTCTCCCAGGTTCCTTGCCTTCCCTTGTCTGAAGTTCCTTGGATGTCCCTAGGTATGGGGCGTATTTGGCATGGCTTGAGGCACAAAAGATTAAGCCAGGAGAAGTACTTCACAAAACTAAACTGCAAAATGTTTTCGCAATTTTCCATATCCTGCGCTGAATACATCTCGTGAGGGGAATAGTAATATGCAAGGAGTCTTTAACCTTTAAAAAATTACCTGATGGTATTATCCCCAAAATGAAAATTTGGGGTTGTAAGTACTTATTGAACTTGTTGATTTTTTGGAATTAAAAAAAAATTGTCATTAAAAAAATGCTTATTTCTTAGTATTTATATTCCTGTATATAAAAAAAAAATAATTATAATCTAGATTGCAATTCATTATCATATTTCTTTGAACTCGTCAGGTAGCTATTTTGCTGTTTTGTTTTTTTTTTTATTCTTCCACTGTTCTCCTTTCATTTAAACATTGTGGGTCTTCGACATGGGCTAGAACTTACTGGGTTTTCGCTTTGACAGAAGACAAGAAGAAATGAACCACTAAAACCTCTGTATGTGCAGTCTTGATGGAACCATTATGATGGAGGATTGTTAAAGCTTGCACAAACACCCTGGAACAACAGTCATCATTGTATACGCATCGGTCAACGTGAACTGGAAACGGTATTTCTTGCTAGCTCTGCTGAAACAAAGACTCAAAACTGTGTTCAATTTTTGTGATATTTATAGGAAATGGTAAGTTTTACTGGAAGGGGAAATTCATGTTGGTTGGTAACACCGGGACTGATGGGATTGTGCTTCTATTCCCGATGTATGAAAACACGGGCAGCTACACAGTGATACTGCTGGGTTGGTAATTCAAAATCTGATGTTCTTTTAATTTCATTTGGCTCTCTTAAAGCCTTTATACTGGGAGATTAATTTGAAGTTGAGCTTAGCAGTCAAGATGTCTAGAGAGACAGTAGGGTTAGGGTCATGCAGTTGTGTATATACGCTTATAACTGGGGGGTTTTTTGGCAGTGTTCGAGGATAAGAATGCCGTATAAGCTCATAACGAAGGCAAAATCTTGACTGTGCTAGCAAGTTAGCTGAGGTAGGTGGGGAAGTCCTTGGGAGGGAGGGAAGCGTGGGATAGCAGAGCTCTCCCTGTTCTGTCAGGGTGCTAGCAGTTTAACTCCAACAGCCATAGCTGGGTTTGAGTTAGAGCATTGCAGTATTCTTCCACTTCCCATTTACAGAGGAAAACAATTATGTATGTATATGCAGTACTAAAATTACTATGCCTAGATCAACAGTTTTCAATCTTTTTTTCAGTCCATTACTCACTGACATTTATATGAATAGACAAAGCCTGTTTAGACCAGTCCTAGTCAGCACCGACAGGAATGACGTGGCTGTAGATGACGTATTTTTAGAGGCTTCCAGGATTTCCAAAGTGGGTTGGAGAATAAAAACAGGGCAGGACCTTCTCAGTGACTTCTCCTAACTCCAAAAGCAGTAAGAAAGAAGATGAAAGGTGCAGAAAGTGAGTCACTGGCCTGATGGGTAGCGTGACATGTTTCATGTAGCATTAGACTGTCATGGTTTAACCCCAGCCAGCAACTAAGCACCACGCAGCTGCTCGCTCACTCCCCCCTGCCCCTGGTGGGATAGGGAAGAGAATCAGAAGAGTAAAAGTGAG